GCTGAATGTGGATTTAGTGCTGTAAATGGTTTTATTGGTAAAAAAAAAATCGTCTAGATATAACACAACGGGGAGACTTGAGACAGAGGCTAACGAAATTGGAACCTAAGATAAAATCTACGTGCAGCAAGCATCAAGGACGAGAATCTCACTTAATTAAAATATTAAATTATAGAAAAATATTTATTGAAATTATTTCGAATTTGAATTTTAGTTATTCATTATATGTTCTGAAAATTTACTTACTTTGATTCGCTAACAATTTCCTAAGTTTCTTAAGTGAACAATTCGATTTTTTTAATATTAAAAATTATGTATATGTTACATAGGGGGGTCATAAGAATTTTAGAAAGGCTTAGTTGGTGCATGGTACAAAAAAGGTTGGGAATCACTGCTCTAACTTCTTTGAAATAGTTGTCCTTGTAACTATTTACTTTCGATTCCTGGTGCTAGGGGACATTCCATTTTCACATTCGACTTTTAAAATTTCAGTTGTAAACGGAATTTTTTTATGTCCTTAAGTTAAAATGTTAAGGCTTGCAACAAAAAAAAAATTGCACTGCAATGATTTTTTTACAAAGTAGTGAATTGTTATTTTTTTCAATCTAAGAACCTGTGCCTATAACTTATGTAAAACTTATTTTAATATCGAGTGAAATAATTTCATATGTTGTGTAACTAAATTGATAATCCCAAGAAACTGAATCGAAAATATAAAAACTTCATTGATTTAAAAAAAATAATAGATGATGATAAAAATAGACATGTTTTGAGCGTCCAATAATGAAAGTCACAAGTTATTCAAGCCTGACAAGTCTTGATAATGGGCGATTATATTTGAACGCTCGAAACATGTCTACTTTACTTCCCTCTTCATATGTTTTGAAGCCAGTTGAGTTTTTATCGTCAATTATACTGTTTTACATTTGGGCCTTGATCATTATTTTGATAAAGATTTTTCACTCGTTAAAGTAAACATATGTATTTTAATATTTTAACAGGATTCACGTGGTTTTTAAAAACGTAAGAGCATCAATATTATAAAAGTTATATTTAACTTAAAAATTAAAATTTTGACACCAGATATTTTGAGTTAATGAAATTAAATATTTTATCTCTTAAGTTTTTGTGCCCCCATTTCAGTATCTTAAGGATCTTACGAG